AGTTCGTTACATTTGAAAATTTCATCCAATTGGTAGGAATAGTTTTATAGCAGAGCAGTATTAGATAAGTAATTATATAATTGGAAATTAAGTAAAGTATAATTAGTAATTATATAATTTATCCAGGTTTAAGAGGAAGTACAAAATACATACTAACCTGCTAAAGTAATTTATTTACATAAATGTTTTTGAAACATTACATTCTGTTAACTTTTTTTTGGACCATTTTTTTTTCTTCTTCTTTACGGCACTTATTAAAGTTGATTATTTTCTCTTTATTTTTCACAATTCCCGATATTTTGAAACAACACGTCCCCATTTCATTTGTGAACCTGCTCGCACAATCTCCCCATTTGATCCAAGAAATTATCACCAATTTTTCCTCAATAGAAGAAACTAAAGGAGTGGTTTCTTTAAAATTCATTTATTTATTTTTGTTTTAATTTTAAAGATTTTTAAAAGACATTTAGAGTGTGTTAAAAGAAAGGGGAAGAATATACATATGAATATATGTATGTATATACACAAGACTGATATTTTACTAAGGTTTAATAATTGACTACGTTTGACACGTTATTAGTCGATGTCAAGTGTTCTGTATGATTTTATTTATCCTAAATTACATTTTCAAACTTAATATTTTTGTTACCTTATGTTTTGCTTAAACATTTTAATATAAATTATGAAAACACTATATTCATTTTATTTTAACCAAAGATAAAAAAAAGACAGGTTTTCCCATAATTATCAAAATTTGATAAATGAATCTCATAGATCCAGTGTGACTGCCCAAGAGATTCCAAGTGGTGCGACCGATGGAGTGTTAACTGTGTGCTTAACAGGTGCACAGAGGTTTTAGCTAAAAGAGGTCATTATACAAAATATTGTTTTAAAAAAATTATTGTATCCTATAAACAAAATAACGGAATTAAAACCTTTTATTTTGTTATTTTTCACAATCCTTTAATTAAATTTTCCGTCAGCAAAAAACATAATAATTTCTAATAAAATTTAACGCAATTTATAATACAAATAAAATAAGAGTTGGCTGTGAACGGACGAGTTATTAAAATATTTTGAGTGGCACAGTGGTGACAAACATTTGAAAATTTTTAATGGTTGATAAAACTGGACAATTGTAAATGTTTATTGCTGCTAGTCACATTGAATCTTGTCCAAATATTCCTGATATTAAGTGGTTAAAAACTGTGTCTTTTCTAAAGATTCTAATAGTTGGCTACGATTCAAACAATAAGGAAGGAAGTGGGAGGAGAAATTGAAACACTAGGTGGGTGAACCGCAAGAAAAGGTGCGTACATTATCACTCTCATTTGTACTAGGATGATTCTTTATCAGCCGTCTGATTCCACTCTCCTGTTTACTGTGGTAAAAGTTCGTTCTAATAATCTGATATTTCAGGGGTTAAGTATACTTCACATTTAAATGTGAGAAAACTATTTGTTTTCTGTAATGAAACCTCGAATATGGATCTGAAAGTGGAAAATATCTCTGAATACCCTCTTGGTTCTCGAGATATGCCAATCAGAGCTATCATACAGAAGTTTTTTCGTTACCAGGATAAAATAATATACTGGCCAATATGAAAACTAAACAAAACACTGGCTTCATTGTGCACCAAGACTTACCTATAAGTATTAGGAAGAAGAGAGATGAACTATTATTGGTCCAAAAAGAAGCTCTTAGGCTAAAACCTTACTTAAAAATGATCATTCAGGGAACAAATTTAAGTGGGATGATGCAAGAGGAATCTCACGCTCCAATGGAGGTCTTTCAAAGCTCAGTGAGATAGTGGGCAGGGATCTGTCGAAGTTCATGTCCATGATGGTTTCCAACACTGCCTGGGAGTTCCAGACAGCATCTCAGGAACGGCAATGGGACAATTGCGGAAGGAGGGCACTTCTACTTTCCAACCATACAGAAGATGTAATACTGAAATAATGCCAACGGCCAGACATTTTTATGAATAATAGATTAAATTTAAAGAATATTAGATTAATTTCTTACAATGTTGTGTTTGGCAAGCAAAGTAAATAATTTATTTTTCATGACATTCCAGAAATTATATTATGTCTTTATTCTTTTGGAAGCATTTATAGTTAAAATATTTGTAATTATTGTGATCAGTTCTTTCCAGAATTTAAATTACATAGGTTATTTGCTGTTAAAACGTTGAATAAAGGGAGAGGGAGGGGGAGTGCTCTATTCGGAATTAAGTATATATATGTTACTTTTTAAAAATAATTTTGTATTATTTATATATATATTTATTTATCTTACTTTTCAATTGTTATTATTATTTAGGGTAATTACACATTTTGCTATTATATAAATGTAATTATTGCTCATTGCAAATTTTTTGTTTTGTTTCACTAATTTTAATAATGGCTTATTATTGTATAGTAGTAAGCATTAATAGTTATTCTCCTTGTAACTTTTTTTTCTGGCCTTGTACTTAAACATTGGCCAGGTCTCGGATTTGACCAGATCCTCGAGCCGACCGTATGTGCCAGGGGCTCAAGGATGTTCCAAGTAGTGTTTAAGATATTCTATTACCGCAACCCCCAACCTTTTACAATCAGATAAAAACAGCAGAATACAAATTCACATTTTACACAAAACCAATATGACAGCACAAGAATAGCACTACACTTTATGTAAGAGTATGAAATATTTGGTTCAAAATTTATATTTACATCCAATATTGTGTTTTTTCCAATCAACATATGTAATTTACCCAGGCCCTGAAGATGACCCGAATGAGGGTCAAAACGTCAGCAAAAAAATCAAAAAGGTGTTTTTCTAAACTACCTCATTCTTGACCGCTCCTCACTACTTCGACAAAATATTTTATTACATTTGTACATCATTTCTCACTATTATGATTGTTTAGAGATCGTGAGATGAAGTCTGCTGTGATGAAGGTTTACAAAAACATTTTCTTTATCGTGTCACAATTGTTTTCTTTTTCTAAACCTACATCACTCAGACTGCAACTTATGAACTATAAAAAATCATTAATTAATGGTCACTAAATACCACACATTCTGACTATTATGTTGTATAATGCATTTGTTATTTTGTCTCTGTCTATTTCCCAGATAAATAACCTGCCTTCCCTTTATCTTGCTTATGATTTATAATCATGTTACCATTTGCCTATTGTAAGCCTTCAAATGCGCTTCAAGATCGGAGCTAGTTATAACTATTTGGGGATAGTGAGATGCGGTCTGATGTGATGTAGGTTTAGAAAAACGTTTTCTTTCATGCCAACATTTCAATCTTTATTGAGATCATCTTCAAGGCCTGGGATTTATAAACATTGTTTAAATTTAACAAATACATGTAGGATGTAAAAAAGTGAATTTATACTATGTAAAAAATTTTTTTTATACTCAATCCAAGTATTTCTACTCTACAACACATCAAATGTCGGCAATTAGTACAGGTCTCTGTTCCCTGAGCTCAAGAAAAAACCATGGTTTTCGCAAGGCGATAGCCCAGAAGGAATGTCAAAGGAGTTCTATTCTACTATTTTTAGACTGAAGACAAATCATGGCCTATGGGGTAGCTACAAGAAGAGAATCGGTTTGGCTTCGTCTCCAAACTGTCCCACTTGCGATTGCTCTTCATATCCTTCCCACATAATTTTTGAATGCCCAGAATAGGAAAATGAAAGAGATAAACTGCTAAAAAATCTGAGCAAAGTCCCAAACGTTTCCAAACCAATAAACTTAGAATCTGGTTCTAATAAGCAACAATCCATCAGCATTCAACATAATCTATGGATTTCTATAGTCGATAAAGGTTACTTTTTGATTATCTTCAACCATGAAAATTGAGAAGATAACTGAGCTGAGTTAGTGGGTGTGGGCGCGTGGCAGGGGCCTGGTCCTAGTCGGCCGATCCCGTTCGATAGTAAAATTAAAATAGAAAACTTCATGGGTAATATGCCAGCGTAAACCCAATAAAAAATCAAATAAAATAAAGTATTTCTACTCATTCAAAGTGTTTGTTTTCTGCATAATTGCGCTATTCTTGCGTGTCGTGTTGAGAGTGCCAGTGATATATTGCTGTTTTATATTTATCCAACGTAATAAACATAAAACAACAATACCTCACAGGCCCTGAAGATGATCTCAATAAAGATCGAAACGTTGGCACGATTATGTTTTTCTAAAACTTACGCCCAGAACCAGAACGCATCTCACGACCTCCGAATAATAATTGACTAACGGTCACTAATCACCACACATTAGTAATAGTAGATGGTGTTAGTGTTTTGTTATAACAGAGATCATATTTCCATCCCGAATAGCAGTTTTGGCCAGTTTGTCGACCGTGTAAATTTGTCACTTTGTCCTTTAACCCATCAAGCATACTTTTGTCTTTTTTCAAAATTTAAAAAGAGTTAATTTGATCGTAAGTATTAACGGATCCATTAGAATTTTCGCGTTTCCAATAACATTTTGTCCTTTTTTAATAGCAAACTGTGGCAGGCGGCATTAGCCATGCCATTATACTTTTTATACTATTCAAAATGTAATTTGTATGTGTACTCTTTTTAAAATAACAAGTATTTCGATCAAATAAAATAAAAATACTAGGGAAAGTAAATATTACAAAATTGGCAATATACCTATTCATTTTTAAGCAGTTTATAATGTCGTTTTTCGAAGTCGTATTATCAAAAGTATGACAGTACATCTGGAGTGAATTCGACAATAATTGTATAGGTGGTTTTTAACGGGGCGATACGTATGTTATTTGTAGCTCTCCACGATAAAACCTTAAAAAACTTAATTGTAATAATAATAAAATAATAAACGACTTACCGTTCGTTAAAAGAGTTTGAAAATATAAAACAGTCGTACAATAGCGGTTGTATCTAAGTTAATATTAGAAGTTAAAAGGTTATAATTAAGGGCGAGTATATATAATTAGGTGTATTTTAAAAGGCCGTTTTGTAAAATTTAACCCACCTTAAACGAAATTAGTGGCAGTTCAATCCATTTCTTCGGCTGTTTATTAGACCCTGGTACGATACGGTTACGAGCTTTATCGAAGGAACGCCGGATCGCATCTGGAGAGAGACTGGAAGCGACCTCAACGAGTCCACATTCAATACGGCCAATCGTCCAAAATCCAAATCCAATTCTCAACTTTCGACTTTCAAGGCCCAATCCCTCTCGATAATAAATCGATACAGAATTGAATAAGTTAAAATATATATTTAAAGGGGGGAAAAAATTAAATAAACAAATAATAATAATTGAAAAGATTGCGTTCAGCTGAAGGAAAACTTATTTGAAAGAAAAACATCTGACAGTTGATAAACACGGTCTTTTCCAATCCATATTTGTTTAGTGGTCATAATTGACTATATTAATTATTTTTTCTCATCAAAGTTTTTGGTTTAGATGAAAAAATAGTAACACGAGCGGGATTCGAACCCACGACCTTTGGCTCAATACGCCGTTGTTCTAACCCAGTGATTCTCAACCACTGTGCCGCGAAATTCTTAAAGTTTGCCGCCAAATTTTAGAAATGTATATAGTAAAAATTATTAAATTCACTATTTTCGTGGTCCGCTTGACCAATTAATGCTTTACAATTAATTAAGGTTTTTAGTTGAGATGAAAAAAGTTAATGGCACGAGAGGGATTCGAACCCACGACCTTCGGCTAGATACGCTGCTGCTCTACCACCTGAGCTATCGTGACCTCGATCCACTCGGACATCAACTCCCCATCTCATAACTTCATCATCATTGAAAAATGGCAAAAGGAGGGAAAACTCATAAGGTGGGGTTGAGATGGGGAGTTGATGTCTGAGTGGATCGAGGTCACGATAGCTCAGGTGGTAGAGCAGCGGCGTATCTAGCCAAAGGTCGTGGGTTCAAATCCCTCTCGTGCCATTAACTTTTTTTCCTCTCAACTAAAAACCTTAATTAATTGTAAAAATTATAATGCTTTTTTTATTACAAGTAAAATTTAAATTAAAGAAAAGTACTTATATACATGAATATGTTAAAATAATTAAATAATATAATTTAAAAAGAAAATGCACAAATTATTTTAACAGGAATAGGTACTTAAATCCATAAAATTGTTCATTTTTTTTTTTTGTAACGCGTTCTTTCTTAGAATCATAAATTTGATTTTTATGCCTTTATGGCTCACATTTTTGTCCATCCTTTGAAAGCATTTTCATACAAATATAATATTTCATATCAATCAATTAATTCATTTTGGATTAATATTAGATGTGATTATCCCATGATAGCCAAAAAAGTTTTTAAAATATTATTAAAATTTTCTACATCTTGTGTCAATTCGGATTTTCAGTATTACCCACATAAAAACGAAAAAAAGATCGAAACTGTTAAACGTAGAAGACGATATGAGAGTAGCATTGTCATTTTTACGACTAAATATAAATTAAATTGTCAAAAAACATCAAGCTAAAATTTCTCATAAAAAGTATTCTTATTATTAACTTTTAATTAATCTCTTAAAAGTACAGTTGTTTTAATTCAAAATTATCATTAATTATTTTACACAGTGTATTATAGGTAAGTAAAACTTTTAAACGTATCTTTTACTTTGTGTGCCACCAAATTTTGAAATAATTAAAAGTGTGCCACAGCAAAAAAAGGTTGAGAATCACTGTAATCTAACCACTTGAGCGATCTTGACTTCAATCCTCTCGGACACCAACTTCCCATCTCAACCTAAAACCGTTCGAATTTTCCCTCCTTTTGTCATTTTTCAATTGTCGTGTAATCAGGATTTGATTCGACTTATGATACTTTTTTACTTTGAACGGTTGTAGGCTGAGTTGGGAAGTTGGGGTCTGAGTAGATCAAAGTCACGATAGCTCAAGTGGTTAGAGCAGCAGCGTATTGAGCCGAAGGTCGTGGGCTTGAATCCTACTCGTTACACTAATTTTTCATCTCAACCAAAAACATAGATGAAAAGAATAGTTAATTGGAATGGTCTTTTAAATTGCCCTGCAACTATTGCACTATTGACTCCCAACTAACATAAAATTATTCTCTTACAGTACCGCTATTCCCTAATTCACTTCCCTAAAAGTATGCTTACATCTGACAGTTATTGCTCGATATTTATGTCAAACAGAAATCGTGGCTAATATAAACAGAGAATTTATGCCATTGATATATATACACTCAGACAAAAAATTTCACCCAATTGATTTTTTATTTTATCGATAAAAGAAAATTCTGCCCTTGATTTGTCTTATTGTTTTTATAAATAAATATTTGTTTATTCTGTGTTTTAAATTGGTAATATCAATTAGAGGTAAACACATTAAATCTTTAATCCAAGACAAGGATAAAGGATTTTACAATGTTTACTTTTCATGAAATTTAATGTTTATTCAGCCTCATTTTAATTCTGAAGCAATAAACTTTTAGTTTTCATCTTTGTTTTCTTAACTTCACTTCTTAAACTTCAAAATGGCACTTAGTGCTGAGGCCCTGAGGATGTTGTGTTTGGTTTGGCACTTATTGATGATGGACGTTCCATCAGGTATGCTGCTATTGCCATCAGAGTTCCCTACGAACACTGCAAGGCGCCGTTAGACATTTTTGTGAAACTAGGCCCCACCATAGAAGGCCTGGTTCTGGATACCCTAGGGTAACTGAGCCACAGGATGGCCAGTTTTTGATTTTGAGAATTTTGCAAAACCGGCACCTTACTGTTGTTCAAGCGATTTATCAACTCCAGAATGTTCGAAGTATCCAAATTTCTAGACACACTGCTTGAAGAAAATCAAATCAGTGTCGTCTAATGACTTTTTGCCCCTTAAGAGGACCAGAACACAGCTGTTATCACAGAGTTACACGGTTCGCATTTGCTCAAGAACACAGCCATTGTTCTTTGGACAATTGGTCTGATGTACTTTTTAAAGATGACTGTAGATTTGGTCTACGATCTCCAGATGGGCATGAAAGAATGTGGAGAAGGTGAAATGAAAGGTACAAAGCCTGTAATTTTTCCCAATTCAACATAGCTCAGTGATTTGTGTGGGTTGGAATTTCAATGGAGAATTGCACAGAGTTGGTTGTTGTCCGTGGAGGATCTTTGACAGCCACTCAATTTTGGAATATCATGCATTTTATATTTCTGTGAAGGTCGATTAGGTGTAGGTTGTTGTAACTAGGTCAGGAAAAACCACAAACAAGATCCTACACTAAGGAACAAGGTTATTGGTTGATTAACAACCTGAAGATGGCCTCTGAGTTATAAAAGTAATCATTAATCCCAGATGAAAATGTCTGGTTCTTGGAGTGCCAGTTCTTCAGTGTGACATGGTCTTCAACTAAATTTAACAGTAACACAAATGATTTTTGTACTGCTCACCTATATGAGAGAACTGCCGCTATTCCCAAACTTCGCAAATTTTAATCCGTGTTTAGTTAATTTTTGTATCTTTTTTATTCAATTGGTCTTAAATAGCTGTTTAATATTATGTAAAAAAGGTACAGTTCTTGCAGAAAATTTTTCCCAATCTGAAAAATAAAATTAAGCAGCTAAATTCTGAATTAAAATAAGGACTGATAGCAATTGTTTACAAATTTCAAATTACTATTAGACTTAGTTTATAGAAAAAAAGGAAGATCTTTCCAAAGATAAATAATATGGCCTGGTTTCTTAAAGTTTAAATTGAGAAAATGGAGAGAGAAGTGAGAAATTCTATTAAAACTGTGTTCACCCTCCCACTATCTTTCTCTTCTCTCTTTCCACACCATTAAAATTGTATAGGTCTTTCTCTCTCACTCACACACAAACACAAATCTTTTTCAATATTGTAGAGTCATGGTCTACATCAGTCAATGAATTGAAATTACACCAATCAATTGGAGACAATCAACCAACCAAAAAGGAAGAAGATGGCAATTTGGTAAATTTTGCTCTTTTCAACTTCATAATCAGGAAAAATTGATCAAATTGGGAAGTAAAAACAATTATTTACCAACATTATTAAATTGATGTGTTTATATTAATTTATTACTCTCTTTAAAAAAAATTAAAAATGGTAAGTAATAATTATTTATTTACAAAACATTTGTAGTTGTATATGTAGTTTAAATTGGATAATTAAACATCACATCCTGTCTAGCCAATTCGAGCAACATAGGATCATCAAAGAATTTGTTAATGGAAACGTCTTCACTCAGACCTTTCCTTCGTCTTGTCTTAATCATAAACTCCCTAGCAAGATGGGTCGGAGGTTGGGGCTCCAAAGGGCGGATAACGATGCTTTTGTCCAAAGGATCACCAGGAACAATCTTGGAAAATTATGTAAGTAAATACTACATAGTATGTTTTGCACGTTAGATTTATGTTTACCTGCCAATGGTGGAATACAGAAAGGCAAAATGCCTGTCCTTGCGTGTGTGTCCTCAAATCTGTTTCAAAACCAAATGAATCAATGGCCGGTATAAAGGCTTTTATGATGTACAATGGTGAACCTGGCACTGGGGCATCTTGCGTTACATGACCTCTGAATAAAAAAATTAATAAGTAAAGTAAAAAAAAAAATAAGTAACAATATTTAAGTATTTTACTACCTTCGTTTTGCAAGTACTGTGTATACAGCAGAAACACAGTCTGCTGGAGCTTGCACTTCAACGAAGAGATATGGTTCCATTAATCTTGGAGTAGCCATCAAGAAAGCAGAATAAGCTACTCTTCTTGCAGTGGGAATAATCTGACCTACAAATTACAGCTGTCATACATTTTATCCCCGTATTACAATACATTTGAATAATTTGTGCTTTGTTGTACTTCTTTTTATTATATTATGGATTATTTGTACCTGAATTGAAAACAAAATGGTACAAAAATACATAACAATGCGGGTGACTTCACAGTGTAGTCAAACCCCTCCTCTCACTAAGTCGTCAATTTTTTCCCATATTTTATTTATAAAGGTCATATAATGCCCCTGTAGGGCTTGAACGGTTCAGAGCATCCTAGATTTTATTATGAGTATCATATTGAAGTCTCTAACCTTAAGCTGCTAGTTAGCACTACAAATGCATTATATATTTTCTACACAGCCTTTTTCAGTATGTTTGACCTTTCTTATGAATAACAGTATGTTCTAGAATTAAAAATAAGTATTGTCGGCTTATTTTTACATAAAACTAATATTTTTTATGCTTTAGTGGTAGAGAGACAATAAACCTGTTGGTTCTCTTCTACATGAAAGATTTAAAAAAAATTATTTTGTACTATAAATGAGAATTTTTTTTTTGTAAATTACTTTTGTAAAAATGAAAAACAAGGATAAAAAATGAAAAACAAGGATAAAAAATGAAAAACAAGGATAATAACCTAGAAATAAAAATAAGTTTTGTCGGTTTATTTTTACATAAAACCAATATTTTTTTATGCTTTCGTGGCTAGAGAGAAAAAAAACCTGTTGGTTCTCTTCTACATGAAAGATTTTTTAAAAATTATTTTGTACTATAAATGTGAATTTTGTTTCTTTTTTAAATTACTTTTGTAAAAATTAAAAACAAGGATAACCTAGAATTTAAAAAAAGTTTTGTCAGTTTATTTTTACATAAAACCAATATTTTTTATGCTTTAGTGGCTAGAGAAAAAAAAACCTGTTGGTTCTCTTCTACATGAAAGATTTTTTAAAAATTATTTTGTACTATAAATGAGAATTTTGTTTCTTTTGTAAATTACTTTTGTAAAAATTAAAAACGGATAATAACCTAGAATTAAAAATAAGTTTTGTCGGTTTATTTTTACATAAAACCAATACTTTTTATGCTTTAGTGGCTAGAGAGAAAAAAAACCTGTTGGTTCTCTTCTACATGAAAGATTTTTTAAAACTTATTTTGTACTATAAATTGGAATTTTGTTTCTTTTGTAAATTACTTTTGTAAAAATTAAAAACAAGGATAATAACCTAAAATTAAAAATAAGTTTTGTCGGTTTATTTTTACATAAAACTAATATTTTTTTTTATGCTTTAGTGGCTAGAGAGAAAAAAAACCTGTTGGTTCTCTTCTAAATGAAAGATTTTTTAAAACCTATTTTGTACTATAAATGAGAATTTTGTTTCTTTTGTAAATTACTTTTGTAAAAATTAAAAACAAGGATAAAAACAACTGTATATATCAGAGAAAAAGATAAATTGTTCTTATCTACAAAATGTTTTTTTCCCTTTTTTTTTTTGTTCAGCATGGAAATATTTTTCGTCATTCACCCATTAGTGAAGAAAAAGTGGTCAAAACAGGTTTTTTGGTTTAGAATTCGATTCAATAGTATTCTAAATAATTCTTTCTGTTTGGACAAAGTACGTTGAGTTACGGGTTTGCATACTCAGACTTTTGCTGCATAACTCCAGTGTGGAGTCATGGTCTAAACCCTACAAAAATGCACTTTTGAATCATGAAACATTATTTGATATTGATTAGAACTTAAATGCAATCAGCCTATCAAGTTTCGCAAAAAAAAATTCCCCTACCTGAATGATTGTCTTGGATTAGGTCCTGCTTTGAATGGGTTAATATACTGAACAAATGGCAAAAAGCATTTAAAAAATAAAATTACATGATTATGGTACAAGATACAGAAAAACTAACACAAAGAAATAGCATCTTTGATATATTTTATCTGCCTTCAAAAGTGGCTTAATAAAAATGTGTGGTTAATAGTGACCGTTAGTCGATAATTATTCAGAATTGTGAGATGCAGTCTGGTGAGATGTAGGTTTCAGAAAAACATTTTCTTTATCGTGCCACAACTTTATTGACATCATCTTCAGGGGATTTACAAACATTATTTGTACAAACAAATACATGTAGGATGTGGAAAAAAGTGAATTTATACAATGCAAAATATATTTTTTATATTCAATCAAAGTGAATAGAAATTCTTTGAGTGAATATAATTTTTTTTTTGCATTGTATAAATTCACTTTTTTTTCACATCCTACATGTAGGTTTCAGAAAAACATTTTCTTTATCGTGTCAACGTTTCAAACTTTATTGAGATCATCTTCAGGGCCTGGGATTTACAAACATTACATGTACAAACAAATACATGTAGGATGTGGAAAAAAGTGAATTTATACATGTATTTGTTTGTTCATGTAATGTTTGTAAATCCCAAGCCCTGAAGATGATCTCAATAAAGAAAATGTTTTTCTGAAACCTACATCACACCAGACCGCATCACACAATTTCTGAATAATTACTTAATAAAAATAATTTAATACAATTAATAATTAACTTACCACCACCACGGTGAAGTGGCTCAGGAGCAATAACAGCATCGAGAATTTTAAATTTAACATTTCTAATTGGTTCTTCGCATAACGGACCTTCCCTTGTACCCCACTGGAAGCCCTGTAATTACATCCTCATTATAACACCGATGTAAATATGCCATTACAAATCTCATTACCTGAATTATGGAATCTTTAACCGATCCTAATAAAGTCTTGTCGACTTCAGACGGAAGAGTGTCATCTACTAAAATATTCGGTCCTGTGCTGTCAGGCCCGAATGCCCAAATAGATCTCGCAGCGAGTAAATCCCAATCATATTTGGTTTGAAAGAATTCTCCAAGACGCTTTCTAAAATCCAAATATGTACACATTTTGAAAAACACCTAATAAGAAAAATTATGATATATATTTTTTTTATTGAAGACTTGTGATGTAATGAACCTGTAATATGGTCAACTTTGATCAATCAAATCAGTGATGATGATAGACCAAGATAAAACTGTAAATATGAAAAATATCTATTTATACTCCTTTTTTTTTTAGCTATTTGACTTTACAACGACTCCTTTAATTATGAATAATCTGGATCACAGTGTGGTCTTAAGGTTATCATCTTGGCAAAACGATCTTGTCTATAAATTGACACAATTAAGTTTTTAATAGACGGTTTCAAATTTCTTTGGAGACTTGGATTGTTTTGCCCGGTTTATGACCTTAAAATAGGTCAAAAGCTTGGTAGTAAAAATTTAATTTGTTTTTCATCAAGCCTAAACCTGATACAAATTATTCATGAGTAAAAAAGTGGCCGATAGATCTAACACTGAAATTTCCTTTAATACCTAATTAATAATAAATAAATTACTTAACAAATTCATTTGCAACAAAAATTTGTACAACAAAGAACTATAATAAAAACAGAAGAGAAATGTACCAATATTTTTGGGTACACCTTTTTACAAATTAATTCCTGACTTAGTCTGTAGTATTAATTTGTAAAAGATATTTAGAATTAAAAAATAAGGGATGGTACAAAAAATAGACAAAAAGTTTTATATATGTCGACAGAAAAAAAATTTGATTGTTGATTTTCACTTTTATTTTTTTGTTAAATGCGTTTCATCCACAGATATGATTTTCTATTAAATTATGCGACTCATCTGCCGAAGTTGAAAACAGAAACTGAGGAGAAAGCCTTTCAATTTAGGGATTTAAAAAAAATGTGTTTGTAAATGAAAATAATACTAACAAAAATGAAAATATTGAGCTAATTAATCCTGTGCAATTCAGGGCTCAACAAAATTTATGATATCCCCAACTCTAATGTATTATTACTGGTTTTCCATGAATGACCCCCCCTCACACTGGTGGTATGATGTCTTCAAACAAACCAATTACTGAAGTGTATTAATTTTGCTAATAATATCAATATAAGAATTTGTTAATAACGAGAGCAAGAATAAATTTATAAAATGAGGTATAATATTGAAACAAGTTGTAATTAAAATATATAAACATATAAATATTTTTCAGCCAGATTTTGCTCCAACTAATCAATAAATCAATTTTTTTATTTAATGAAGATATTATTAATAATCATAAACATAAAAACAATAATATATAAGATTTGTATACATTTATTTGTACTATGTTTGTATTTATTGTATGTATTTATTTATACTATAACTTTTGAAATAAGGTATACTATTCCAAACTATGAAAAATAAATGCATTATACTGTATGAGTTTTTATAAAAGACAGGGCCTTTTATTTTTTACAATGCCTATTTTATTGTAAAACAAAGTATGGTTTCAAAGTTAATTTTTCATGTACACTTTGCTGGTCTTATCAAAATTTTACTAAGTTGGTTAAATCGACCTGGTTTTTTTTCTTTTTTTTTTTTCTTAAACCAGATACCAGAAAGTCCAAAATTCATTGATTCACTGTGAAGATATTAAAGTTTAAAATTAGGATTAAAACAATCAATACAAATTAAATTTTCATATTTTATGCAATTAAATTTGCAATATTTACAATTACAACGCTCGTGACACTGACTTTTTTATCTGAACCAATACCTTTCATAAAGATTAATTAATTGAAAGCAGTTAATTGGTCAATCGGACCACAAAATGTAATGGATTTAATATTTACAATTTTCTCTTTTTTTTAATTATTTTTAAACTAGGTACATGAGAAATTAGTTAACATAAAACTTATTGAATTCAAATAGTGCCAGCAGATTTTACATGAAAAATTGCCTTTAGAATCATACTTACTTTGTACAATAAAATAGGCAGTGTGAAAAATAAAAGGCCATCTTTTATAAAAACTAACACGGTATCATAATTTGTCATATATTTCAAAGGTTTTAGTACAAATAAATATATAAATATCTTAGTAAGGATAGATAAACACCAAACCTGTTCCAATTAATGTTAACAACTTGATTTTCAATGTCTTCAGCCAAGCCTTTTTCCAAAGGTTCAGAAATCATGGTAATTTTATTCCTCTTGTTTGGTGTTTCAGCAAAACATTTGAGCGATGACGTCTCAACTACAGTTTCACAGAAACTAACTACGGGATCAGCTACTTTTATATCTGAGAATAAAAATCGACAATACTATACAGGCCGTTATTAGCCAACTTTTTTGGTATTTAAACGTATAATTTTAATTACCAATTTCAGAGTACATGTTCCTTAGATCATGCATAACACAGTCTAGATAAAGCTCCCCGGTACCGAGTACGACGTGTTCACCAGATTCTTCAACTTTTGTTGCCAAAAGTGGATAAGATTTGTTGACTTTCCTGAGACCATCTAACATTTTCGGGAGTTCCGATGGGTTTACAGGTTCAACTGTAAAAAATGTGTAAAGTGCCATCACATAAAATAAATATATATAAATGTAATGTAAATATTTGATTAACCTGCAATTTTTATAACAGACTGGGTATTGAATTTCAACGGTTTAAATATATACACATCCTCATTGAGAACAAGGTCTGTAATTGTTGATGTTTTGACTATACACTGATCGATACCTTCAATTAGAACCCAATTTCCTGCTGGTACTCTATTTACTTCCACCTTATATCTTTAGGAAAAAAAAGTTAAGCATAACATTTACTAACACATTTAGATAAAACCTATTAGAAAAATGTAATAATTACTTCATATAATGGAAAAACAATAAATATATTGCATTTAAGTAGATACTACTTACCTGGCTTCGTATATCCATAATCTCCCAACAGTTAGAATCCTCGAATCTTCTTCGTCATTTAGAGTATAATTTTCCCCAAGGACTCTAACTTCTTGACCAGCGTACAACGTTCCTGACATAACTCTTCCACACACTTGAAAAAAGGTACAGTCATCAGTGGGGTACATTTTTGTACTGTGTACCATCAGACGACCCTGTACAAAAAAAAATAAAAATAAAAAATAAATAAACACCACTAAATTAATCTATTACTTACTTCAGCATTGCAATTAAACATATCTTTAACGATTTTACTGTCTGTCGGCCCTGTATAAATGTGCTCGACTTTGTTCTTGGCGTTTGCACAAGGAGAGGGAATGTGTTCGACACACATATCAACAAAACCTTAATTAAAAAAAATAAAAATAAAATTCTTACATTATGTTTTACTGATAACTACATACCACCCAAGTCACTAAAAAATTTGGAAAACACAAGTGTAAGCAATGGTTTTATGTTGATTTTCATTTCCTCTTTGGTCAGACGGATTCCTAACTCATCCAACACTTTAGGGAGTGTGCTATCAACATCACCAACAACCTAATTGTCACACAATAAAAATATTATAAAAGAATCTTGATAATTTGCCCTTTAAAATTCAATAGGAGAATAATTACAAATTATTTAGATTTTAGATTTAATTAAAAATATATTAAAAGGGAAAATATGAAATAACAGAATTTTCTTATTCTTTATTCCTGTTAATGTTATTCTTCTCTTCTTTCATTGTGATTTATTTGTATTATCTTATTTGTTTGCTGTATTGTTGAAATGAGTCTAGATTACAAATGGAAAAAAGTCATATCAAAGATCCATGAGATTGTTTTTTCTCATATAAATCAGCCCAAGCAAATTTAGAATATTTAAAGCTTTTAGACTTGAAAAAGTCACATTTTTTCCAGTATGTTTTTTCATAACAGGAAAAAAATTATACTGATTACTGAGATTCTACTGTAATTAGAACAATATGAAGTACCTGGGCAAATATTTTATAGAGGAGTTCTAAAATAAATTCAACGAAACTCCTTTATTTGATAATTTGCCCTTAAAAAATTCAGTAGGAGAATAATTACAAATTATTTAGATTTTAGATTTAATATGCTAAAAATATATTAAAAAGGAAAATATGAAATAACAGAATTTTCTTATTCTTTATTTCTGTTTATGTTATTCTTCTCTTATTTCATTGCGATTTATTTGTATTATCTTATTTGTTTGCTGTATTGTTGAAATGAGTCTAGATTACAAATGGAAAAAAGTCATATCAAAGATCCATGAGATTGTTTTTTCTCATATAAATCAGCCCAAGCCAATTTAGAATATTTAAAGCTTTTAGGCATGAAAAAGTCTACATTTTTTCCAGTATGTTTTTTCATAACAGGAAAAAAATTATACTGATTACTAAGATTCAGCTGTAATTAGAACAATATGAAAAAGTGTAATATACCTGGGCAAATATTTTATAGAGGGGTTCTAAAATAAATTCAACGAAACTCCTTTGTGCTGTTCCATGAGGAGGCTTTTTGGAAAATTTTCTCCTGTGGGAAAAAAAGCTTAATATTTCACCGCAGACAGAACTAGAGAAATTAAATAACTCACGTTTTAGTATTGAAATAAATGTCACCCCACAGTCTACGAGAAAACTCTTTTACATTCACACCATCATACGTTTGAGAGTACAAGTAGGCAAACGACCTCAGAGTAAAACAAATGTTATATTGCGACGATGCAAAGCATACATTTCCGGCAATAGGTGAAACGATGTTTGCTTTACCTTCCTCAGAATACATCCTAAAAATATTATATCAATGAATACATATGTACTTTTTGAAATAGTAAATATAATAGACTCACGTAATAAGTCCATTGACTTCATCGATAATATGCCTGATTTTATAATAGGCATCTTGCGGTGGAAGTTTCAGCTCTAGAATTAATCTATCGATTTTGTTGACACAAAGAGTGACTGCCATCTTTTCCTGTAGTAAATACAATCCAATTTATTCGTAAACATTAATTTTGTATTCATGAATGTACCTGGATAGCATGTTTTATAAGTCGATCTGTGTTTAACATGACACCTTCAGCAGCATCCACAAATATCACTGCACCATCGCACATTCTCATAGCCGCAGTGACCTCATCGGAGAAATTTACATGTCCTATGTGACAATGATAGTTATAAATGTTAAAATTCTTTTATTCACCGCCTGAACATTACCTGGTGTATCGAAAATATTCATAAGATACGATTTTCCTTTAATATCAGAAAGAAGTAGAGTAAGAGGTGTTGCTTTGATGCTAACACCCCTTTCCTGCTCAGTAAAAAGAGTGTCGGTGTATCTCAAATTGCCTTCAACGGCCATTTGTTTAAATCCAGGATGGGTTTGTTTGACAAAACAATCCATTAATGTCGTCTTTCCACTGTGCAATTGCCCCACAAGGCAGACATTACGAATCAAAGGTGTAGTGTCCATCATATCAGCTAAAAATCTACAAAAAATCATAACCATCTTTAAAATTAAAACCTTAAAATGTACAGCTTTAACGCACCACTCAATTTATTTAGTTGTCTTTGTACATTAGTTACAGGTAATTAGGAGATTATCACAGTCAAAATAAACAGTAAATAATGCTTTTATACTTCTGTTATTTACTTTTGTAATAATTAATCCCATTTGCACAAAAATTAGCATTATGCCCTTCCATTCTGCTATGCCTAAAGTTCGCTTTCAGATAATCTTTTTCTTTGTTGATTTCATTTGATGTTATTCCTATTCTTAAACCTTTTTAAATAGCACCAGGTATTTGAGTGAGTTTAACAGTGTCAGGGTCATATTATTGGAGCCAGCGCGAAGTCACCAGGAGAATACAGTAGGAAGGGTTCTTCGGCACTTCAGAGAAACAGGACATCACACTAGATGGCCAGGACAGGGTTGACCTTGGTCTACAGACAAGAGCGATGATAGATTTGTCCGTCATCAAGCTCTACGAAACTGCAGTATTATGGGAAATGAGATAAGAAATCTGATAAGACAAATCCGAAATGTTTCTATTTTCTCCAGGGCTCTATGACAATAACCTCAGGACTCAGCACCCGGCTTGTGGATCTCTTCTTACCACAGTTCAAAAAATGGCCAGGCTTCAATTTGCATGAGAACATGTGAACTGGACATTGAAAGATTGAGGACAAGTTCTCTTTACAGATGAAATTTGGAAATCGTGAGATGCGGTTGGTGTGATGTAGGTTGCAGAAAAACATTTTCTTTATTGTGCCAACGTTTCAAACTTTATTGAGATCATCTTCAGGGCCTGGGATTTACAACATTGTTTAAATTTAACTAATACATGTAGGGTGTGGAAAAATGAATTTATACAATGCTAGAAAATTTTGGAATAAAAAATGCATTTATACAATGCTAGAAAATTTTGGAATAAAAAAATGAATTTATGCAATGCTAGAAAATTTTAGATTCTAAATATTTGTACTCACTCAAAGAGTTTATACGGAAAACAAACACTTTGATCGAGTACAAATACTATGATTGAATCTAAAATTTTCTAGCATTGTATAAATTAATTTTTTTCTTCCAAAATTTTCTAGAATTGTAGAAATTCATTTTTCCACACCTTACATGTATTTGTTAAATTTAAACAATGTTTGTAAATCCCAGGCCCTGAAGATGATCTCAATAAAGGTCGAAACGTTGGCAGGATAAAGAAAATGTTTTTCTAAAACCTACGTCAGACCCGCATCTCACGATCTGATCATGATCAAACTTTATTGAGATCATCTTCAGGGCCTGGGATTTACAAACATTGTTTAAATTTAACAAATACATGTAGAGTGTGGAAAAAAGTGAATTTATACAATGCAAAAAAAAGAGAAAAAAAATTATATTCAATCAAAGTATGTCTACTCACTCAAAGTGTTAGAAAACTACATAGAAAACAAACACTTTGTGTGAGTAGAAATTCTTTGATTGAAAAACTTTTTTTTTTGCATTGTATAAATTCACTTTTTTCCACATTCTACATACATTTGTTAAATTTAAACAATATTTGTAAATCCCAGGCCCTGAAAATGATCCCAATAAAGATCGAAATGTTGGCATGATAAAGAAAATGTTTTTCTGAAGCCTACATCACACCAGACCGCATCTCACGATTTCCGAATAATCATCGACTAACAGTCACTAATCACCACACATTTTTACAGATGAAAGTTGGCCTTGAATATTCAGTAGGTGTAATTTCTTATGGAGACGCTCTGGAGAAAGGCATGCTGTATGCTCAGGTGACATTCTGTGATCGGTCATTCTATGTTCAAGGGTGATATTTCCTCGGACACCTCCATCAAATTGGCTGTTGTGCGAGGAAGCTCTCTAACTTCACAGAGGTACACAAGTGCACATGTAGTGCCATCAGTGAGGGATTCTTGCTAATGCAGGATAATGCCAGGCCCCCGTATGCATTGTGGATGACTAATGAAGTTGGAATGAGTGCTTGGTGTGGCCAGCTCAAAGTCCAGAGTTGAAACCTACCAAACACACCAATTTAAGTGACTTGTGCGAAGGCAAAACCCAGGTCCCAACACCTTGGAATAGTTGGAAACATGTGATTTGTGCCAGAGATTTAATACTTGGTATTAAAGAGGTCAAAAAGTTTTTTTTAAAAGGATTATATAGTAAACATTTTCTTTTTAAATGTCTCATTTTTACAACCAAACCTATTTTTCGTATGCAAAATATGAATAAATCTAAAAATTAAAATTTAAGGCTGGTGCATTAATTTTATCCATCAGTATTCTTAGAGGTATTTCAACTAAGAGGATATATACACTCAAAGGGTTCTGGTGTTTTTGTATGTTGGGTTTGAATGCAGAACCGCTGGATTCCAACACAGGAATCCTACAGTGATGATCACTATTACATGCCTAAACCGTTGTGGTCACAGATGCCTTCAAAATTAATAATTTTATGGGTTGTTTGCACGGAGTTCCTTACACAATTTCAAGACACTTCTAAACATGTGAGATGCTAAGGCAACATAATTACATGGTGATTAGTGACCATAGTCGATGATTATTCGGAGATCGTGAGATGCTGTCTGGTGTGACGTAGGTTTTAAAAAATGTTTTGTTTATCGTGCCAATGTTTTGACCTTTATTGAGATTAACCTCAGGGCTCAAAGTGTGTTTTCTGTGTAGATGTGTCACAGTTGTGTGTTGTGTTGACGACACACAACTGTGACACATCTACACAGCCACCGACGCCTCCCTAAACTACAGGTTTACCTTCACAGACAACAAGAAGAACTCACAATCTAAACTACTTCATAAACCTCTTACTCCATGCTGTAGATGGTGTCAGGCAAGTCTTGTTCCTTGACTTGAAACTTCTTTTTTTTCACCGGAGCCACCAAAGGGACTGTGAGAGCCTGGTCGTCCTCCTCGTGTACTATCGTCTCAACGTCCGGTCCGAACACTTCCGCAGCTGATGGATAATAACGTTTGTCTTCGTGCAGAACGATCTGCATCGTGTTGTTTTCCATTTCTTCGGTGCCGTCTTCCATTTCCGCTCCTTCATCCTGGCATTGCATGATTAATTATTTAATTAATTAGATAAATTATCAATTTTATCACATTTTTATAGTTGGAACTTACGTCGTAGTCCCTTCCTTCGGGCTCACGCTCCTGGAAATCGTCATCGTCGTCGTCGTCCGATTCCAACTCCGGCCCGATGTAGTTGCCAAACTCGTCGTAAAGATCGGCATCCATCCCTGACAAATAAAAATAATTAAAAATGAACCAAAATAATGATAAACAATAAATCTTACTTGAGTAAAAAAAACAGTAAGGTTGATCAGCGTTGATGAAACGTAACCCAAACAAATACCGGCAACATGGGTCCTAACTTCTGAAAACGCCGCTGTAAAGCTAAGTTCCTTTCGACTAGGTATAAGCATCGATAGTAGGCATGTTCGATGTTTTTGACCATCGATGGTGGGTTGTCAATGTTTTATAAGATTTGCTTTTTCGGTTTTTCCTACGTTCCTCGTGAAAAGGGAATGGCGAATATCCTTCTGATAAGCAAGTGACCCATCCGAACCTGTCAGGAGTTGTTCAGTTTGTTGCGGCCTCTTTCAGACGAGGCGGCTAGTTGAACGGACGGGTGCAGCAAAATGTTTGGGAATCGCCCCAACTCTGTCACACACAGTCAACTCGTCCTCCCGGGCGAGTGGATAGCTGGCACAACTCAACACAAAAGACACTGTTCGGCATTCGTCCTTCACACTAGTCGCCTAGTTGAGTCAACTGTGTTGGCCATGTTAAGCCGCATCATTTGGATGAGGACCAATGAAGCGTATAGCGTGCGAGGACGCTGAGACTACGCCTACCTAGTCCTTTGAGATGCTGGCTTGAGAGCTGGCCGCGAACGGCGGGTGCTGTAGCAGAGGCACACGCGGGTTAGGGTACCAGATCCAGTCTAAATATATATATTTTGAATATATATACTGACGGGGCAGCGTATTTTCGTTCCAGGCTCAAGCCCACTTCTTGGGTAAGGTCTCGCAGTGGCTGAGTGGTGAGGCCCCTGGCAGGTACCTAGAGAAGAGGCTGTGTTTCGTGGCCGTGGACCGTAGTACTTGCGCATGACCTCCGAATTACCTCCCGAACTCGTGGGAATCGGATGGACCGGATTGCCGAGAGCGTGTAGCCAGCGAGGAGCTATGACTACGCTGCCGGCGTCCCTCGAATGCGTTGGTCGGGGTGTTTGTCGTTGGCGGCCGTCAGAGCTGCCTTTACCGTAGGCATGGGCTCCTCTAGGGATTGGTTAGATTCCGTTAAAATAGAAATCTTGGCCAGAGCGTATCCAAAGGTTTCGACGCTAGCGGAGCCCCTACACCCAGGGAGATAAGAGTTGTCTTCTCTATCTAGGGAGTGCGTGGGAGACTTGGCCGATGCGTTTCGACCACCTTTTGGGTATCCCTTTACTCGGCACTGGTTAGGTGCAAAATGTTAAGCCACCCCCTCGGAATGGGCAAGCGGAAGAAGTCAGCTTGTCTGATTAGACTGTGGATCTGCGGGCTTCTACACCGAACCTCACAGTCTCACAATCATTCGTGCACGGAGGTGAGTCGCTCCTAACTTGAGAATCTAAAACGCGTGATAATGCCTAATCGGTCAGGTGCGCACGCTGAAGAACCTCAGTGTTACACGACATTGCGACCCCAGTGGGAAAGTATGACCATATTAAGCGGTGCAATAGCAAGTTTCAATGTGGAGCAGTTCATTGAAGATATTCGTATTAGTCCCGTGACATGGGACATGAGGTGAGACGAGTTGTTTATGATGTTTCGTATAAAATAAATAATAATATATACCCAAGGTTTTCAAATTATTCTATAATTTTTAAAGTAGCAAATTTTTAGCACCGCTGGATTGAATCCGCAAAGGAAAGAAATCTCCCTCTCATTCCTTACTACCGTAAGGTTTTTTTTTGTTAGTTTATGTTTTGTGCTATAAAATTACATTGCGCCTTTAAGTTGGCGATAATTTTTTAGTTTGAAGAGTTCAACTTGATCACGTGTACCAATCGGCTCCAAAATTGGTTAAAATATGTAGAAATACTATTTTAAACTAACGAAATATCGAAAAAGTATGTATTTTTACGGGTTTTTAGAATTTCACCTACCGGTTGAAGGGCGAGTTCCATGTAGGGCACTGGAAATATTCGACTAGTTCAATTTGATCTCGTATACCTATCGGGTCCAAAATTGGTCAAAATATGTAGAAAAACTAAATGAAACTAAAGAAATATCAAAGTCAAAGTAAAAAAGAATTTATTTTTACCGGTTTTTCGAGTTTCACCAATCGGTTGAGAGGCGAGTTGGTGGGTATGGAGATATTAGGCTCGTTCAACTTGATATCGCATACCAACGGATCCAAAATTGGTAAAAATATGTACAAATACTATCTGAAACTAAAGTATCAAAGTCACAAAAAACTTGATACAAGTATGTATTTTACCGGTTTTTCGAGTTTTACCTACCGGATGAAGGGCGGGTTGTATGTAGGGCACGGGAAATATTCGACTAATTCAGCTTGATGTCGTGTACCAATCGTGCCCAAAATTGGTTAAAATATGTAGACAAACTTTCTGAAAGAGACGAAATATTAAAAGTCAAAGAAAACTTCGAAAAAGTACGTATTTTTACCGGTTTTTNAAATCCTGAAATTAACAAAAAATATGGTAATATTCAAGGTAAGTATCAAAAAAGGGTAATTCTTCTAACTAGTGACTTGCGGTTCTTCAAATTTCAACATTATCCTATTTGTGAAGCATTTCTTTTGTTATGAACTAGTTGTTTACTCTAATATTAATAAAAATATTTTAAAAATTAGAAAAAATATGGTAACAATTATAGTAAGCATAAAAAAGGGCCATTCTCCTAAATAATGACTTGTGGTATTTTCTACTTAAAACTTTATTTCATTCGTTGACCATTTTGTTACAAACTATATGTTTACTCTTAGTTTAATACAAATATTCGAAAATTTACAAGAAATATGGAAATAATTATTGTTAGCATCAAAGAAGTGTAATTCTTCTAACTAGTCACTTAGTATTTTCAAATTTCAACATTATTTGTTTCATCATGCATTTCTTTTGTTACAAATAGTTGTTTACTCTAAGTTTAATAAAAACATCCTAAAAATTACTAAAAATATGGTAATAATAATTGAAAGCATCTAAACCGTAAAATTCTTTTAACTTGTGATTTGTGGTATCTTCAAATTTCAACTTTATTCCATTCGCCGAGCATTTTTTCTGTTACAGTCTACTTGTTTACTCTATGTTCAATAAAACTATTCCAAAAATTACAAAAAATATGTCTATAAAAATGGTAAGCTTCAAAAAATATTATTTATCCTAATTGGTGTATCTTCAAATTTGAACTATATTCCATTCGTCGAACAGTTGTTTTGTTACAAACTATTTAAGCTCTAAGCTTAATAAAAATATGCTTAAATTTACAAAAAAATATGGTAATAATAATGGAATGCATTAAAAAATGTTTCCCATGTAGTGATTTTGTTGTAATCAAATGTCTAAATTCTATTCATCAATCATTTCTTTAGTTGCAAACCAGTTATTTACTCTATGTTTAATAAAAATATACTAAAAGTTACAAAAAAATATGATAATCACAATGGTAAGCTTCAAAAAATTGTAATTCTCCTTTTGGGTGACTTGCTATCTTCAAATTTTTACATTATTCTATTCATCGAGCGTTTCTATCTTTATAAATTGTTTCATTTCTTTATACTGTTTAAAATAAAGAACATATTAAAACCAACCTTTTATGTTAATTGTGAATGCTATATTAAGCTAATATTAGAATCAATTGCATAACTGGTCCTGACAATTGAACCTGAAAACACTTTCATGCTTCAACAAATCTTTTTTAAGTAAAGTTAAAGAACAATCCACAGAAAATAACTTATATCTAATTACGTAAATAGCCCATGCTTCATTAGACACAGATTTTGACTAAATTTTAATTTTGTTCTGGATGATTATGGCTTTAAAGCAAGTATATTGCGATTAACATTAATTTATTTTTCTGTTGTTCAACTGACAATTAATCTTAGATTATTATATAAATACCACCATTATTTGATACCATTTTAATCATTATTGTTAATGCTCAACATTGAATAATTATTTAATCTCTGTAATTAGTATTATTATTGGGTCATGGAATAAGGATAAATTTTCTTTTTGATAATAATTGACCGTTTTATTTATTAACGTTTTTTAAAAATGAAAATGGTACATTAAAAAATATTTTTGGCTTTTTACAAATTGATATACAACTTAAGAAAATTACTACACAGATCAAGGCGACATTTCAAATCTGTATATACAAAACGGAAATAAGTTTGGTTTCAAGCGAACTTTTAACAATTTATCATAAAACAATTGAATTATTATTCGTGAAAGTAGATAAAACTTTTGTCTCAGTCGACCAAACACCCGTTGGTCTGCTGTCAAATTATAAGGGCAGAGAGGTGGGAAATTGTAAGCCCGTTGGAGGGGGTCGGATCAATAAATGTCCTGCCCATCTACCTCAGTGTTCAACCAGCAAAAGTTTAGACTAGATATGAATCACAATGTTTAATAACTGTGGCCAAAGTGCCTGTTATAGTACAAAAACAGTATACTCCACTTGAACTGTGAGTACGTATGTATCTTAAATCGAAAGCGTTTTCATCAGACTATTCAATTTTAACAAGTTTGTCATAGGTCAAGAATCACTCACCATACGTGAACAAATCAATGATTTTAGAATTCACAAAACAAACTGGACTACTTTATTCAAACATTTACAAGTCTTTATAGATTTTCTTACTCAATATTTTGATATAAAATTACATAAAATTGATCAAATTACTAAGTTGTCTTACATCTTTTGGCATTAGTAGATATAAAATGATCAACTATAATGCAATAAAGATGTATTATACTCAATAAATCTAAAAAAATTAAGATTCTAACGCAACAAACTACCACATAAACTCTAAATTAATTTAAAATTTAATGTTATGTAACTTTAAAATATGAACTGGATAATTCAAATGTGTTGCATTGAGAAAAATCCCTCAGTGACAATCTTTCTTCCCCCTTTATTAAGTTGACCAATTGTTCATTTCCTTCTACTTTTAGTGGTTAAAAAAATCCTTTAACACTATGTTAAATCAGTTATGTAACTAAATCCATCACCCTGTAAAGAAACTGAATTAACAATTTGACAAATTAATAGCTGATGGGAAAAACCCTTACTGTTTACTTTTTTCTCTATTAAGTTGGTACAAATTAAATTATTTTCATTCATAAAGAGGGTAACAATTAAAAAACAGGTAAAGCTCAATTGGAAATCTTCACCAATTTTTCTTCACTGGGTTGGTCTATCAGACACATTTTGGTTGAAATATCTTCAGTGTTAAGTCTTCTAGTAATCCTCAGTAAAATGTCCTACCTAGTCCTTTTATATCCAAGAAGATTGGTAATGATCAAATTGCAGGTTCCTCACATTGCAAGCCACATAAGGAAAATTACTGTTCTGAGTTGGCTATGTAAAATATTAAATTTTTAAAAATTTGAGGTAGTTTGGTTTTTATTGATGTTTACTAGACACTTATTACACCCAAAGATATGCATTCATTATCCATTGAGTTTGAATGCCAAAAACCACTTGAGCAGCAGATACAGGTTAGGATCACTCAATAAGCAAGCAAGGACTTTTCTGGAGCCAAGCAAGACTTTTAAGAAGAAACAAGAAGCACAAACTATCCTGGAGAGGTCAATCATCATACCCAATAATAAGCTTCTTGGTTAATAATTAATAGGCACTTGTGACTTTTTTTTCACTATACTTATGGGTTATTGTGTAGCCTCCATCATGACATCACCATGGAAAGTGCAAGTTTTCTGACTAAGCTCTTTGAGCACTTCTCTTGGTGTGAGAAGTGTCCTACAGAAGTGACCGTACTATAACTGGGCTGATGAAGAAGGCTTTGGTTTTTCTGACAAAGTTCACATGTTTCTATCTCTCCATTGTCTATCCATTTTTAGGTTGGTAGTTTAAGAAGGCAGTAGCCAGTATAGAGACCTTTTCCTCAAACCTTGCCAAATGAGAGAGACGAGTTCTTTTGCCTTCTTTTTTTGATTTTTTTTATAAATTTCTTAGTTGATCTCATACCTTGTGCTTATTTCCAGTGCTTGGGTTTTTCTTCCTCAAATTATTTTTACAGCTCAAGCTTTAGGACACTCTCCAGTGTGTCTAGTTTTGGATGTAGGTCCATGTGTGAGAGGGCCCATTTTTTGGCTAGATAGCTGGCTTATTAACCTTGTTATATTGCTTTCTTTCTTCTTTGTTTGGATGACTTAGGGACTGCTGAACTAGTTTGGACCTAAAAGTATACATATTTAGTGGCTAGCTGCCCGACTGTCCAGAAGTATGTAAATAAGTGCACCTTTTACTTTCTTTTTTACAAATGCTTCTGCACAGAGTTGGATTTCATGGACCTCAACTTGGAATATAGTTGGAACCAGTCCATATGGCTTTACAATAGGCGCAATTAGTCTGTTTTACCCTTACACCTTGGAGTTGCGTTTCTTTCCAAAGATCTCTACAACCACTTGAAAATGTTTGTCAAAATTAAGTTTTCCTCTTATTTTATCAAGGCTTCTTTTGAAAGGCACCTTTTGTACATGGACATGCAAGCGTGGGAGAGGAGTTGGTTTTATCACTGTTGTGGGACACAAGTATACAGACAAATATTCATTATCCCTGTTATGCTAAGACATGCTAGTCTTTTGTAGACTTTGCAGTTTGTTTTGAATCTACACAGTGTTTTTGTCCACCATACTAGAGCTCCATTTGTGATCCGGGGGTTTGACTATTGTTGGAGTTTATTCCCCAGTTTTTGCTGCATAATTTATGGACAATGCTTAGTAGTGGCAACTTTAGAATGTTGCCTATATGACTTCTCCTCTTGTCTTTGATTGACCTAAATACTTAGTTCCTTTGGAGAAAGTTAAGTGCTTTGGTAACATATTAGACCCATGAACTTGTAATATTGGTCTTATCTTTAGTCAAGGATAATCCATCTCCTCAAGCCATTAAGAGTTGAGGTTAAAAGCTGATGTTAGGGCATAGCCTTATTGAAGGATAACTTCCAGAAAATCCAGTAACATGGGGATCTGATATAAGCCATTTGAAAAATAAGTAAAAGAGATGGTCTTAAAATCAATCCTTGCGGGACACCTAATTTTATTAGGAATTAAGAATTAATTTTCCTGCCTGACAGATAAAGTTGTGGGTGCAGAAAGTATTTTTTTTTTCATAAATTGTAGCTCTCTAATTTTGTGAGAAGAAAGGAGTGCAAGATGCAGTCCAATCTCTGGAAATCTTAGCATTATTGATATTGGTCTATATTTAGTAAAATTCTTGGTATTACCATTTTTAAAAATAGGTAGCTTTCAAAGTAAAACATATGTTTAAATTAATGTTCAAAATAAACACTGCATCTAAATAAGATTTAGCAAATAGAGCACAACAGATACAATATTTAAAAAACAAAAAACTATGCTTAATGGCTAACAAATGCTACATATAATTAAAAAACAGCAAATAAATTACACTATTATAGTTACATATTATAGTTTAGAAGCTAACTTTAAAAGTTTTATTAGGTGAATTTTAATTTGCAGGAAATTGTGATCAACGAGTGACACAATGTGGAAACTAGCTTTTACCCTATTTATACCCCTAGTAACTTCCTCATTCGTCTGGAAACATCACAACAACAAAGAGCTCAAAGATGTTTTGGACTCGGTACATACAAAGTGCCCATCTATTACACGAGTCTATATGCTGAATAGAAAGTCGGTACAAGGGGTGCCACTTTACGTTATACAATTTTCCATGATGCCAGGAGTCCACCAATCAAGTGTGTATTATGCAATAACATAAATATCTATAATTGTAATAAAAAATTGTTTGCTTTAGTGATCCCAGAGACAAAGTATATTGCAAACATGCATGGGAATGAAGTACTCGGACGAGAATTACTATTAAAATTAGCAGATTATCTATGTGAGGAATTTAACAATGGCAATGAAGATATTCAAAAGCTGATTAAACTAACAAGCATCCACTTGCTGCCGAGTATGAACCCTGATGGCTGGCAGGTGTCCACCGATTTTGTGAGTGATTTCTTCAATTCGAAGCCAAAAATAAGTTTTTTGCAATAATCATTTTTCTTTAGGGTGGTAAGGACTATTTGCTTGGAAGAGAGAACAACAACAGCATCGACTTGAACCGAAACTTCCCAGACCTCGACAGAATAATGTTTACAAATGAAAACGGACACCTGGAGAACAATAATCACCTTCTCCCTTTGGTCGACAGGCTATCTCAGCCGGTATGGCATTTAATTGACTGATTATAAGAATTTTTTCCCCAAACTTTTCATGATTATACAATTTCTGGATTAAACAATACAATGTAACTACATGTATAGAAAATATCAACAAGAGTATTTTTTTTAGTTTCAATGTTCTTAAACATGTCCCAAGCTTTTTACAGCCTCTGACATTCAGGAGTTCTTTTCAAATTCAACCATTTCCTACCTACTCCTTATTATCAATTCTTAAAATCCTATCTTGCAGATCTTGCTGACCTGCTGATACATCCATCATCATCCATAAAACTTCACCCAAACCCCGACCTAACTTAACCTGTCCTTAACCCTAACCTCCAAATTTAATTATTTCTAATGTAACCTAACCCAACATAAATACACTTTCCGATGATCCAAACATTTGTTGCCATTTTGTCATCCCACAATTCAGCATTGCTCCAGGGTAGAAATAAAGAAAGATAAAAAATCCACTTTTTGGATAGTAGACTGACGTTTTAGACTGCCATCTGGATTTTGAGTAATAAATACTCATCATCAGGCAGAATGAATGTATGACAATTGTAGAAAGTGCGTCGAGAGATATGTTTGTACATTCTGCCTGATGATAAGTATTTATTACTCCAAATTCGGCTGGCTGCCTAAAACTTGTTGCTCCAAGGTTGTTGACATATTTCCTCTGCTTTAGAGAACAAAAAATGCTGTTAGAGTGTTTTTAGACATGCCTCAAGCTTTAGGCAGTGTCGGGCACTCAGACTCATGGAGCAAAGCTTGGGCTACACTGGCCATCTAATATTCAAATAACTCAAGCAATCCAATTAAAAGTCTTCAGAAGAATTCTCGTTTCTTAAAGTCTAATTACAATCTTTCAAACTATCTCTACTGTCAAAACCCTCTTCAAACTTTCTCATTTCAAGAATCTCAAATGACAATGTCCATCAGACCTTCTTGTCCTTAATCCGATAACAAATTGCGTGCCAGTGCTGGACTTTTGTAATGCATAATTATATTTAAAGAACTTTAATTACAGAGTTATAAATTTTAATCTTTCAGATTTTCCTAAAATCCTAAAATTTGGTTATCCTAGTAACAAAACTTACATATGCATAGTACAAGTTTTACTGGTTCTAATTGTTTTAAATATGTAATTTTCATACATTCATAACATTAATGAAATTTTTCTGTTCAGATTCAACCTGAGACCAAAGCTGTGATTCAATGGATAATGTCAATTCCATTTGTAATATCAGCCAATTTCCATGGAGGCGATCTGGTAGCCAACTATCCATACGATGAAAGCCGGAGTGGTGCCATGACTGAGTACTCAACTAGCCCTGATGATGCCACTTTCAGGTGAACTATGAAAAAATAATTACCTTAAATATGTTAATTTATATAAAAGTAATTAGTTAAAGAGAAAATATTGTCTGAAAATAAACCTTTCATTCAGTTTCGATCAAAATTGGAAAATATTGTCAGAATTTATTTTCCTGGTGTCTTTTGTCTCCTTTTCTTCCAATGTGACCTAAAACATCTATTGTGGAATTGACCCTTCTTTATTTCCATTCTCTGGAAAGTGCACTACCCTAAATGTGTTAATTTTGCCTTTCCAATTTTTCTTTTCTTTTATCCTTTATTATTCTGAGCAGTTCCACAAGTTTTACATTCTTGATAGCTTTCAGGCCTCAATCTTTTGACATGTGGGAGATTTTAACATTACTCCACTGGCCCAAAAGTTGTTGGTTAATGAAAACTGGTGGAACAGGTAAGAAGAATAAAGGAGTAATTATTAAGTAAAATACTACACCTTTATGCAAAACATATTTTGTTTACTGTAGCAGTTTTTTGATTTTTTTGAGATGGTAATGGAATGGGCATTGGTCTGTATAAGGGCCTATTATTTTCCTTGATGACCGCTGGGCGAGAGGTGAATCGTTTTTCCTGGTTATGATGATGAAGAACTTTGATTTGGCACCTGGAGAATTAATCCAGTGTGCAGTCATTTCTTCCTCAATCTATTTATTCAATTCCATTTTTAGCATGCTTTGGGGCATGTTTGTTCTGGTTACTGTTTTCACTTGTTTTTCACCCTGTCCGTTGCCTTTAATCCCAAGTCGGTATCATAAAAGAACAATTTGACAAGAGTGACAGTTTTCTTCAATACTTTCTCACAAATTGGATAAGCAAGCAAAATGAATACTTTTTATGACAAAAATTAAGAATCAAATGCATTAACTTACATAAGAACTATTAAACCTCAGACTAGAATATGACTGCTGATCAGACATTTCAAACCTCAGAGGCATATTAACTTGTAACTGTAAAACAAACCTGTGCAGATATTGCCAGGAAGAAGAAAATAATGGTTTGTAGAAGGCGGAGATTCCTACTCCTAGGAGAGGAAAAGCCAAGGCAGACCATTAACAATGTATTTGAATCTGGAAAAATTCTTTGGTTTAATGAGACATTCTAGACAAGAGAAGAGACCACAATAGACCAATATAGGTCACAAACTGTAAAGAAACATACTCTTACTAACCTACCTAACCTAGAAAGACTATTTAAAAAAAAAAGATCCGGAGAAGAGCTGGACCAGATTCAACTGATTTTTCAGTTCCAAAAAAAATTGTATTGAGCTTTCAAGTTAAAATTAAGAAATTGTGAACAAGAAGACTGCCTGAGAGAAAAAAAACTATACTTGGAAAATACTTAATGGATGAAATAAGACCACCTTAAGAACTCGGTAAATACCATTCTACAGACTTCAGCCACAATCATTTTCTTAATTAATCAATTTTGTTTCATATTTGATTATTTTTAAGTATTCTAACAATAAGTGGGGTTGCAGTTGTGACTTGTTTTGTAGGGAAGGGGTTGTTACTTTCCCTGAAGAACATATATTTTTCTATGTTGCTTCTTTGTATGTAAGGTGAATAGAAGTTTCTGAAAATAGCTGTGGCATATGTGTATTTAATTACCATTTAGCACATGGAATCATTATGTCTATTGTAAATGTTTTTTGGATATAACATTGCTCGTTGGTGTGAAATCAATATAGAATATTGTAGTATCATTTTAATTATCATCAACAGGCATTTGGCTCAAGTATACGCCAACAATCATGCTGACATGGCTGACCCAAGAAAAGAAGGCTGCGGCTACAGGGGATACAATTTCGGCAAGCAAGGAGGGATAACGAACGGTGCAGCCTGGTACAGTGTCGACGGTGGTATGCAAGATTTCAACTATCTATCTTCGAACGACTTCGAAATCACCATCGAACTTGGATGCGACAAGTACCCGGACGCGTCACAACTGGAAAAAGAATGGGAGAGGAATCGTGAAGCGCTTTTGGCCTTCTTGTGGCAGGTAGGGTGAAATCATAATGAAAGAGCGCATTAAGGTTGAACATGTATTTTATGTTCGAATTTTCCAGGCACATATTGGCGTCAAGGGTCAGATAAGGGATGCGGTGACAGGTGAGCCGATATCAAAAGCAATAATTCACGTCAGAAACGTCACTGATGAAGAATACGACATAATGCACGACATCTCATCAGGTACTCATTTTTTAAAAGCCATTACACATTTTACACCAAATCGACTTTTGATCTGTTGTTTTGAAGTCAATTAGCGTGAATTCTGTTATATCGGAGATTAAGTTACAAGAAGAAAAAATTTGTAATAGTATCGAAATGGGAGGTTGAATAAATTTGACGAGCGATTCGTAATATTTTTGGAAACATTAAGCCTTTAATGCAATTTTCCCATTTTCTAGTCTACAAAGGCGATTACTACAGATTGCTGACTCCAGGGGTGTACGAATTGACCGTCGTGTATCCGGGCTATCTGCCAAAATATAAAAAGGTGGAAGTCAAGTATGAGCCGAAGACGCCCGCCCAGCTGGTCAACTTCGACCTGGTTCCTCTACCAACGGTAAGCTCTAATTTAAAATAGTTTTTATCGTTTGTTTAATATTAACTGAAGTTGATAAAAGTCTACATGTTATTTCACCTATCACTTGTAAACGCATATGCACGCATTAGTCCTACCTTTATTCACGCCAATAAATACATTCACAGTCGAAATCACGTATTCACTATCCTAAGTCGATCTAAATGGGTCGACAGGTGTGGTCACTCGATATTCCACACGGACCTTGTCCATGCGCACCACTTAACCACTCACGCAAATAAATACATTCACACAATCAGGTAGTCATCAGAGTTTTTGATGTTACACCACTGACTACCCCGTTATCACATTGTAAATATACGTCAAATGGTTAGGGTTACTGAATAGAACAAATTTTCCTTTAATCAGGTAGTCCAGGAAAGCCTATAGAAGGACTTCTAGCAAGGAATGACTCGGTCTGATTTTTGTGCGTAGAGAGTAACAATAAGAACGCGTATGACACCTAAACACAAACATAATAGAAAAAAAAAAACAATCACACGTACAAAACGACATAAAAAATGACACACTATAATCATAACAAAATCATTTATTGACAAATTATTTTATTAAAAACTGTATAAAAACCAATAAAAAGAAAGCTCAAAAAATTTTTTTCAGATGTAAAATAAAATTTTTGTTTTACATTAAATTAAAACTTTATTTGCAATGACTGAAACTGGTCCCTTGAAATTCATAGCTTAAAAAGTTATAAAATATCTTAATATTAGTGAACTAACTTGCAACTCGCCATGACTTACGACTTTTGAAGACTCGACTTTTATATTCTGTCAAAAATTATCACAGAAAACATCATCTATCAATTCTTTTAATCAAAAAGAGAGAAAAAGGTGTATTTTTTCACTTTTCAGTACACTTCCTTCTAACACTTTTGCTGATGTTGAAATGAATGGTTTTTCGTTTTGTAAAACAATAATAGGCAATGTAAAACAATAAAGAAATATTTTTTTAAAACTAACTAAAACAAATACCCCTATTTTTAGAAACTCTTTGATACGAATTAGTAGTATACTAAGAAAAATAATTCATTCTTGTAATAGTTCAAATAAATTTAGAGAAAAGGGTATCGAAAATGGCAACATTTTGTTTTGCTTTTTAACTACAAATACGGTAAAATTTTAGAGTTGTGCACTTAAACAAACAGTGCCGATTTCTTTTTTTATTTAAAATAGTAGCGAGTGTTTTCCTAGTAGAAAGCAATGTTTTTCAAAAATAACCGTAAGAAAAGAACCTCTATTTTTAGAAACTTTTGATACGAATTAGTAGTTTACTTAGAAAAATAATTCATTCTTGTAATAATCCAAATAAATTTTGAGAAAATGGCAACATTTTGTCTCTCTTTTGAACAACTAAATGACCTTAAAAAATGAGTTAAATACGGTAAAATTTTAGAGTTGTATACTTAAACAAACAGTGCCGATTTCTTTTTTTAATTTAAAGTAGTAACGAGTGTTTTTTCAAAACATAAATTTTTTAATTTAAAAAATGTTAGTATATTTCAACAAAAACCTGTTTTGTACAGACTGAAATTGAATTTCCGAGTTCTAGAAGTGGTTTAAGTAATTTTTTTGAAAGTGAAGAACAAAGTGTTCCTAAATATCTTGCCTTGATGAAATGGCATCAAGCAAGCTTTTAGATATTTAAAAGTTCTCGTCATTTATGAATATTTTATGACAAAAACTAGCTTTCCATCTTTACCATTTTCCTACAGAAAGAGGAACTGGTGTGTAAGGTTTTTATGACGGAAATAGGGGATCAGCGGGAAAAATTCGAGTTCGATCAGAAAATCCCTTCTCCGGAAAAATTGTTTTTGAAAAATTGATGCTACAATCCTTTCTCATATTTAAACGATTCCATTTTTATTACATCAACAAATGACATAAAATATAGTGAACAATGTTTTTTAAAAAATTCTAGAAGTGAAGAAATACTTTTTTTATATACAGAAAGGGTGTAAAATTCGTTTACAAATTTAGATTGTAGCCCAAAATTAACGATTGAGTTTTTTCAAACCACTAAAGCACGTATTTGTATTACATTAAAATAAATAAAATACAAAAATATTGATGGTATTGTTGAAATTAATTTTGAGAAAACGGTACCTGAAAATGGCAAATTTTTGGTTACTCTCTGACCAAATAAATCGACTTGTAAAATTTTTGAAATATGGTAAACCATTAATGTTCGATGTTTTACCAAAAATTTCAGACTTTCTTTTAAAGGATTGTGTATTTCAAGTAAAAGTGGAATTTAAATAATTATATTTCGGGCTCTATCAGAAAATTGCTTTTCCTGAAAAATTATATTTTTTCACCTTTCAGCACATTTTTTTCTCCAAAATTTTGTTATATTGAAACGTTTCGTTTTTAAATTTGTAGAACCATAATAGGGAAACAATCTAATGAATGCTTTTGCAAAAACACCCTGGACCTGAGAAGTGTTTTTTTGTATAAACAAAAAGGTGTAAAATTTGGTCACAAATTAAGACGGTTGATTAAAATTACGGATTCATTATTTTTTAAAACAAACCTAGCAAATTCCTAGGATTTTAAGAAAAATAAAACAAATATTTAATAATATACAATATATATAATACATATTTTTTAATATACACAGTTTTTTTTTCAAAAAAGAGTTTGAGGAAATGGTACCTAAAAACGTCAACTATTTTGCCTACGATTATTCAGAAATTGTGACATGCGATCTGGAGTGACGTAGGTTTCAGAAAAACATTTTCTTTATCGTGCCAACGTTTCGATCTTTATTGAGATCATCTTCAAGACTCAAAGTGTTTGTTTTCTGTGTAATTGTGCCATTCTTGTGTGTCGTGTTGAGATGCCCTATTTTGCCTACTACCTACTTCTGGCCTGACTACATCGCCTTAAAAATTGATCAAATACGGTCAAATTTTTATGTTTAAACAGAAAGTATAAATGCGTTCCAAAATTAAAATCCTTAAAGGAGAAGTTAAATTAAAAAAGTCGATAAGAAAATAGCTCTTTTGAAATGTGGCATTTTTTTAATCTTTTAGTTCACTTTTTTCTAAAATTGTTTATCATATCGCAAAGATTCTTTTTTCCATTTTTAGAGCAATTACAGACAGACAATTGTCGTTATGAAAAATATTTTTTCCGGCCAAAAAAAATGTAAAATGTTGCCACAACTGTAGTTTTTGATGCCAAAAGTTTTAATTTCTACAAACCCATTTCTACTTAATCGTAGTGTACTATGGGCAATAAAACAAAAAAATATTGATTGTAATAGACCGAATTGATTTTGAGAAAATGGCTAACTAAAAATGACAACTTTTTGAACTGCTAAATCAATTTGAAAAATTGATAAAATACTGTCAAGTTCGATTCTTAAACAGAAAGTACAGACTCAATTCAAAAAGAAACACGTATCACAGTTACAAAAAGAAATGAAAAAAAAAATGAATAGGAAAAACCCAGATTTTACTCCTAAAACTCATCGCCACTTTCTTATGGCATAATACATAATTCAATTAATTATTATTTTTATCTAAGGCTTTGGTTGAAATGAAAAATCAGTGTCACGAGCGGGATTCGAACCCACGAAAATGGCAAAAAGAGAAAAAATTCGAAAGGTGTTTGGTTGAGATGGGGAGTTGGTGTCCGAGGGTATCGAAGTACCGTGCTCAAGTGGTTAGAGCAGCGGCGTATTTAGCCGAAGGTCGTGGGTTCGAATCCCGCTCGTGACACTAGCTTTTTCATTTCAACCAAACCTTACATAAAAAGATTAATTAATTGAAAGATGTAATTTGGTCGATGACCACTAAATATAATGGATTTCATAATAATTTAAAAATTTTCAAAATATAGTAATATACTTGTAATGATTCAACTAAATTTTAATAATAAAGGAAAATATTCGTATTCCGGCTATTGTAGGCCATGGAACCTAGCAAGGATGAATTTTCTCAGCCTTCGAATTTGATTATAATCTTGGTGTATTGGTGGGGAGACGGCAAATGATTGGACATCTAATGAACCAAATTGCTTCGTTGGTTACAGTCCATAACAGCCGACTATTAACTTGTATGCTGAGATTTTTATCAAAACCTTTCTTGCTCTATAGTATATGTTAGAAGTAATTGAAATTGTCTCAAGTCGAGTGTGGCTAAATGAGGCTAAGAATTGCTCGTAGAAATCCATGTCCCCTCAGGGCAATAGAAGAGATGACTATTACGACCGAGGGTCATGGGTAATTTGTAACAACTGCCGACGATTTCACTGTTAAGGTTCAGTTAGCAGATTTCATCGAAGGGGGGAACTCGCAAAAACTGTCTTTTACAGCTGCCACGGGAAATACACACTTATTCTAAAATCTTATTTATTCTTTTTTTTTCAGATCCCCTCGGAGAAAAACGGCAACTTGGAATACAATCTGTACGACGAGAATACCGCTCTGAAGAGGAAAAGATTTCTATTCGATAATGTTCTAGGGGTCTAAGATAGCACAATTACAAAGATTTTCATTTTATCGAGTAGAAGCGTGCAGTGAAAATAAAAATAAAAATACCTTGTCACTTGTACATACCATTCATATCCACTATTTTTTCTTGTAAATAATATCAAACATTTAATAGATGAATAAAAAAAACTATGTTATACAATAAAAAATTTAAAGAGGAAATATTTATTTTATAACCAATACTTAAAATCTATTTATGAAATTTATTAGACACAGGTTGTTAAATTTTTATATTCTATTTTTAGCTTTTATTTTATCCAACCCTTAATATATTTTATGTTGTGTAATAGATAATTTAATAAAAATGAACGCAATGAATAAAATAGCTTTTTTAATGTTCACCTTTTCTGATTTTTAAAATGGTAAATAATTACATATTGTACATCGCCTAATTTTAGGTAATTTTTTTAGCCGGCTCCCTCACGTAATGTCTTTCTCGCTTTTGGATTTTATTATCCTTTTATTTAATGTTTAACCCTTCCACATGTAATTAAAAAATCAATTACATATTCATGATATTTAAAATATTATCTAATCTAAACTGAGCGAAATTTGGCCACTCCCAATACATAGTTGTATACTGATGAGACCCCAGGCGTACAACTACACTAAAATTATATACAGCCTAAACCTACCTTGACTCCCTTCTTTTATTCACGCCAATAAATACATTCACACACAGTCAAAATCACGCATTCACTATCCTAAGTCGATCTAATTGGTTCGACAGGTATGTCGGTATTCGATATTCCACACAGACCGTGTCCATGCACCCTTAACCATTCACGCAAATAAATACATTCACACAGTCAGGTAGTCATCAGAGTTTTTGATGTTACGCCGCTGTCTACCCCGTTATGACAATGCAAATATATGTAAAACTAAATAACGTAGACTACTGTGGTGTAGGTACTCCATATTACATCACAAACACACCCAACCCTAATAGAACTTTCACGCTAGTAAATACATTCACTCAAATTAAGGATATTATTTCAACCTACGTATGAAAGAGTTAATAGATGAATAAAAAAAACTATCTTGTACAATAAAAAATTTAAATAGGAAATATTTATTTTATAACCAATACTTAAAATCTATTTATGAAATTTATTAGACACAGGTTGTTAAATTTTTACACGCAGTCAAAATCACGCATTCACTATCCTAAGTCGATTTAATTGGTTCGACATGTATGTGGGTACTCGATATTCCACACAGACCGTGTCCATGCACCCTTAACCACTCACGCAAATAAATGCATTCACACAATCAGGTAGTCATCAGAGTTTTTGATGTTACGCCACTGACTACCCCGTTATGACAATGAAAATATATGTAAAACTAAATAACGTAGACTACTGTGGTGTGGGTACTCGATATTTTATACCATGTCCATGCAGAGTTAAACATTCACGCAAATAAATCCATTCACACAATCAGGTAGTCCTCAGGGTTTTTGATATTACGCCAGTGACTATTTATTATAATATAAATATATGTAAAACTAAATAACCTAGACTACTGTGGTGTGGATACTCGTACATCACAACACACCCAAACATACTATAATGTTCACGCTAGTAAATACATTCACTCAAATTAAGGATATTATTTCAACCTACGAATGAAACAGTTCTCTATATCTGACCATATATACGTTTATCCAAACCATACGTTTATCTGCTTCGGGTATGGAATCAATTTGTTATTATAACCTCTACTGTGACTTAGAAGTTGTTTAAAATGGCATCTCCGTGGTGTTTCTTTGGCGAGGAGATGCCCATGTGTCAGCCTGGTGTGGCCTATACCCAGGCTAATCCCAAAGCCCCATAAAAGTTTTCATCTTATCGTCCTATTAGTTTGTTACCCGTTCCTTCTAAATTATTCGAAAAATTAATTTACAAAAGAATTATCTCTATTGCTACTTCGAACATCTTACCAGATCATCAATTTGGCTTTCGGACCCATCATTCCACCACTCATCAACTTGACAGAGTGACAGATTTCATTACTTCGTATCTCGAGCAGAAACTGTACGCGACTGGAGTGTTTCTCGATGTTTCTCAGGCCTTCGAGAAAGTATGGCACGAGGGATTGTTATACAAATTAAAATTATTTTTACCCCAGGCCTATTATTTGATTATACAATCATACCTTAAAGAGAGATTTTTCGCAGTAAACCGGGGTACGGAGTCTTCTGGGATGGAAGAAGTGCTTGCAGGTGTGCCACAAGGGTCAATACTCGCTCCGCTGTTGTACACAATTTTTACTTCTGATATGCCTACAAATGAGAATACACTTATCGCCATATACGCAGATGACACCGCCATATTAACAAGTCATCTTCTTCTACACAAGCTTCACTCATGTTACAAAACCTCATTTCAAAAAATTGAGCAATCTTTGGAAAATAAAGTTTAATCCCTCAAAGTCACAACACATCACCTTTACACTCCGTCGTGAAACTTGTCCTAGCATATATTTATACAATGAACCTGTTCCTCAATCCGACAAAATTAATTTAGGACTTACATTTGATAGAAGGCTAACTTGGAATGCACACACACGATTAAAAAAACAGACATTGAACAAACGATTTAAAATGCTTTATTACCTACTCAACCAACAATCAAAATTACCATTAAAATCAAAACTTTCGACATACCGTTGCGGTCACCGACGCCCCCTATTTCAACAGTTAGTAACTAAAAATTTTTTTAATTTTATTTTTCTTCAGTTAATAGGTTTTATACGTTGAAAAATATGAAATATTTTTTTGACATTCGTAATTTTGACATTTTTGTGTGTATAGCACATTTATTCAATAAATTCTATACTTTTATTTTATCATTTTATATTATATAAATTTTTCATAATGTAAAGATTTTTATTAGTTGTAATCCAGTTTTATTCAATTGTTTATTTTATAACACATATTTTAATATGTTATTTGTTTTAATATCTTAAATTTATTATTTTGTTGATTTTTTGTTTACGTGTTTTTTTTTATTAGTTGTTTTATAATATAAGCTTTATTTGGATGGTCCTATGCATAATCATTATTTTAATCTGTTAAGTTGTTTATATTGTTTTTAATTGGTTGTATAATATTTTTATAGTATAAATATAAGAAAATTATATTATTTAAGCGCTAAATAAAAAAAATTAAATGTTGACTTTTAAATTAAGCACCTAGATATTCTTTTAAAAAAAATCTATTAAGTACCGCAATTACGGTTGTTGGCAATAAAAACTGTCATGATTTATCAATATTATCGAGGGTTCTCAACAACAAAGGTCATATGAACCCTCGGAGTGCTGGTGTTTTTTTTGGGGGTGGGTAAAAAAATTGTTAGTATCTTGGGCAGGACCGCTGGATTCAAATCCGGGAAAATTATATTATTTAAGCGCTAAATAAAAAAATTATCACAATTATTCAGAAATCGTGAGATGCGGTCTGGTGTGATGTAGGTTTCAGAAAAACATTTTCTTTATCGTGCCAACGTTTCGATCATTATTGAGATCATCTTCAGGGCCTGGGATTTACAACACGACACGCAAGAATGGCACAATTACACAGAAGACAAACACTTTGAATGAGTAGAAATACTTTGATTGAATATAAAAAATATATTTTGCATTGTATAAATTCACTTTTCCACATCCTAAATGTATTTGTTAAATGTAAACAATGTTTGTAAATCCCAGGCCCTGAAGATGATCTCAATAAAGATCGAAACGTTGGCACGATAAAGAAAATGTTTTTCTGAAACCTATATCACACGAGCCCGCATCTCACGATTTCTCAATAATTATCGATTAACGGTCACTAATCACCACACAAAATTATCACAATGTTGAATTTTAATGTAAGCTCCTACACATACTTTTGTTTTCTTTTTTAACAGGGTTAAAAAAAAACATTTGTAAGTATCTCGGGTTCGAATGCAGGGCCGCTGGATTCGAACCCGGGACCTTTACTTTACAGTGATGAGCGCCGTGATCTAAACCGTTGCGGCCACTGACGCCCCATTTTTACCTTATTGTAATGATTTTGAAAATAGGATATTATTTTTCTACACAAAAAAGCAAATATTTTCTCATTAACAAAATTTATTTAACGTTATTGAAGCATTGTTTAGTCAGCCGTATATACGGACGCCACATGGAGCCAGGCCCATCGGCCTCCGGGTTGAAAGTGCTAGGCGATAGGATAAGGCCATTATTATTTAAAACATTTATATATCTATTAATCCCAACAAATTAAAATCGTACTGTCGTGAAAGAATACAGTTTATTTCGAAAAGTGTCGTTTAGAAAGTGATATTTATGATTTGCAATATGTAAATTCTTGTTTTGTTTTTCATATAATACACTTCCATCTTATGTGTTGGAAAGTTGCGCATAACCAACATTCCTTTCTATTGTTCACTTAGACTTTCAGTAAGTTTGTATAAGCGCATTCAACTCCTGAAACAGCCATTCGCGAATGAAATTTCGTCAAAAAGCCCTTTCATTATTGTATCGAGTACAGCTGAATTTAACGATTAAAACGTCTGCGATTCTTGATAATCAAAATAGAAAATAAAACGTGTATATTTAACCACAATTTTTTTTGTTATAGGACAAAAATTTATATAAAAATAAAATGAAATATTTGGCAAAAGTTTCATGAAATGAAGCTCAGGCTTTTTCATTGATTTGATGATGGAAAGACGACTTATCTATCACAAATATAAAAAATATTTACATTTAAATTGCTTATTAAATAGTAAGATGTAAAAAACGTATTTTTCTTTGAATGAACCAACAGCACGAAGATTGTTAAGGATTTGGATACATCGAGCCGGATTAAGGGTAAGATAGGATCTTTCTTTTCATCCGTCGAGTTTATCATTGCAAATATCCTGACAGATAAGGCCGAGGGATCAGATCGATCTGTTTATAGCAAAACCGGGGAAAAGAGCGAGGGAGATATGAGCCGACGAAGGCGAAAGATTTTTAGGGAACCCACTCGCTCCATTGGCTTGTGAACGCGCTCACAGGCCGCCGGTCAAAGCATCCAAACAAGTCAATAAATTGGACACAGTTCCGAAATAATACAAAAAAAATTCATCAGAAAATTTAATTTTTCGGGACAAATGTCGTACAAATCACCGGTCAAAAGTGTTCGAAAGGTGCTAAATCATAATCTCAACTTGCTTATGAAGAATAAAATGGATTAAACTGACTGCCTTTCGGCTTTATATTTATTTAGTAGCGGAATTACGTAAAATTCTGGGATACTGGAGGATATTCCTTGCTTTTTTCGTTTTCTTCT